GTGTGTCCCTACACATCTGTATGTGATGAAACTACAGTATTCCACAAAATTTGTAAGAGCTTCTGCTAGTGGCTATCAGGTGATTTCTGCTCTTAGTGTAGACAAGACCAAAGAAAGATACTTAGGAGGACACTTACTTATCGAAAGATGAACACTAATGTCAAACTCTTGGGCAGTGAGGAACACAGTGCTCACAGTTTACTCATTTTCTCTCTTGGATGAACTACTCAAGTATTCCCTCTAGCCTCCCTCTGTTCCCATGCACCGAAGAGTGACAGATGTGCTCATGCTGTAACTCCCAAAGAGAAGGAAGCAAGACTTGGGAGAACGCAAGTGGGACAGGTCTTTCACCATGCATTTGAGGACAACCCTCTCCAGGCTGAACTCAGCTTTGCACAGGTTGTCCTCAAATGTACCCTGGCTGCAAGAGCCCCTGTCCACTATGGGGCTTTTTGAGGGTATCTAATAGCTATGGCAAAGCCATACCCCATCTCTGCCTGACTGACTCCTCTGTCCTGTTATTTTATACCAGTATCTGGCACCCCTTTGGGGACAGGCACAGGAAGTGGGGATCCACCCACCAGCTACTGCTGTTCCCAGAGCCTGGCACTCCGTGCAGTTGCTCCCACAATCCCCAGCTCGAGTGAGGCAGGAGCAGCCCTGGCTTCCTCCCATTTCCATCACCTAATCCCTTTCTGGTCCTGCTGGGTATCTCCTGCTGGCCCAGGGGCTTCAGATGCAGGGAATAGTTTCATGGGGTGCCAGACTTGGCCAGGGACAGCAGTGGCAGCAGGCGGGTCCTCCCTTCATGCCCCTTTTTCCTGCCTCTCCCCGCAAATGGGCATGAAGTTAACTAGGAGGGGTGATACTCTCCGCTCTGGTTATCCTGGACTCCCAATTATTTGGCCAGACCTTTACTAGCTGTGCAGAACTATGGCCTTTTTGCACACAGCCAAGGGATGGCCCCTTGGCCAAAGCAGACAAACACTGCACTCATGTCTGACCTTTAGTGAATGAGCGCTGGGCAGGGAGACATCCCACCCAGTATCAGCCATGTTTGGCAGCTCCTGCCCAGAGAGAGCTTCTATATCCCACCCTCCACCAATCCTTCTCTGCTTACCTTCACCAGGATCAACTTGCTTTCCTTGGCCCTGGTCTCTGAGAAGCACTGCCCAAAACAAAGGTAAATGGTGAAGTCAGGAGAACACTCCCTGCGGTGCTCACGAAAGTCCTTCAGCTCTGCAAGAGAGGAGAGTTTGGTTTTTGTTAGTGAGTGAGGGGTGGGGATGGAGTCAGAGTTTGCTGGGCTGAATACATTGCCCAGAAAGGCTGAGAAGGTGCAGGCTATGAAAGGAGCTTTCTGATTAAGGGTTGGCTCAGTTTGAGAGAACAAGTTGCTCCTGGCTGTTGCCTCTTTTTAAGCACGAATGCAAGATTTCCTGGAGTTTCTCCTAAGTGGGATTTGTAAACACAATACACCATACCTACAGGCAGGCTGGGCCCAGCCCATGATCAACCTAAGGACTTCAACCACACTAGGGCCTGATTATATGAGGCATTGTCCAAACATATGACCACCTCTGACCTAATAAAGAAACCCTGTGGTGTTTCATCCTGGCTAACAGAGCTACCCAGGAAGCTAGATGGAGGTGGAACAGGCTGCCTGCAGGCTCACCTTTCCAGAACGTCTCATAGTTGTACAGCTCCACATCTGTACTGCGTGGCAGCAGCCTAGGCTCAGGGCACTGAGTCATATTGGCCAGCTGCTTGGAGAAGGCCCAGAAAACCTTGCATTTATCCAGGCGCTGGGCATAGATCCTGTTGTTCCGCTGCTCCAGCTGCAGCCTGGCATTCTGGAGAAGATGCCTGGTGAAATGAACCTGCTTGTGATCCGCCAGATGGTCTGGGCTTGGGAAATACACCACCTGCATGCAGTCCTGGGGGAGGGCAGGGTCTTCATTATTGTATGTGAAGAGGCACTTGCTCTGGGTCACTTCCACGAGGTGGGACTGCTTCCCCCGGTAGTAGATGGTGACCTCCAGATTGGGTGGGATGGTTCCTAAAAGATATGAGAAAATGCTTTTAATTATAAATACATAAATGAGGGAGGCTTGCTAAGGGGGGGTTGGCCCTCTGTAACAGGTGGCTGGATTGAATCTTGTCTAGGCTGGAGGTGGCTGGAAGTTGATACCATCCAATGGCTTTTTGGTGGCCACTGAGTATGATATGCTTTGGTTTCCCAGTGGGGCTGCTACATCAAAGTTCACTACAGTGAGTGCAAATATTCCTGCTGGCCTCAGTGGGCACTGGACCAGCTCGTGACATCCCAAGCCCCTGTCACTAGATATGGCTTCCAGTAGCATTTCTCCACCCCCTTGGTTGGCATCCTCTGCGAAGCAGAGGATGGCTCAATGGAGCGCCATCCCACCCTTGTGGTTGATGAGTGTTGCATGTCTGCCTCAGCAGAGAGTGAAGAGTGGAATGAAACCAGGCCACCGTGATGAGAACATGGTCAGGGGAGAGTATTTCCAAGATACCTCTAGTCCTTCAAGAGAAGTGCAGAGGGGCCTCTAGTTTGTGGGAAAGGTGAGCACTGTATGACTCCAAGAGCTGCCTTTTCCCCCAAAGCTCGACTGTTGTGCCCCTTAAAGATGGGAGAGGTGGGCAGCTTATTCTTGAGTACAGGTCTCCCTGCCTAGGACTGAGAACGGCTCTAAGGCACTGACCTGTGTTGTTCAGCAGAGGGACTGTGTTGTGAGAAGGTTCCTGTGGAAGGGGGGCAGCACAGGGGTTGAGCATAATCTGCTCCACTGCGGCAGGGGCCATCCACTGGTTTGCCAACTGGTTAGAGCCATTCTCTGCTAGCTCATTTTGATAGACAATGGCATTTCCATCAGGGGCTTCATTCAGGAAGATGTTCTGGGTACCAGGGTGGTTGCTGTGTTGAGATCTCCCTTCAGACAGGTTTCTTGCTGTGGTAGAGAACAATTGGTTTGTAAGATGGGTTGCTTTTGCAACAATAGCATTAGGGTCTACCTACTCTCCTACCCCATGCTCCACCTTTATGTTGTGCTCATACTCTTAACTAGGTATAGCTGCCCACTGAGGACAGGGGGACTGTTTCCCACCAGCTTTAGCAGGTGCTGGGTCAGACTCCAAGCCAGTCATCTTCCCCTGAAACTACAAACAGGCCTTTGAGCCCTAAACCTTCACTCAAAACCAGATTATAAAAGAGAAGAAAACAATGTGGCTCAACCACAATGATAGCGCTATCAGGATGTGCCGAACATCACTGCCAAGTTATCCTGTTAACTGCATAACCACTCTTCTATCAACCTGGATGAGAAGCTCTTTGGGGTAGAGTTTGTCCCTCACCATATGCTGATGCTGTATCAACAATGAGCATTACACTCATTAAAAGGGAATGCTGTGTGGGTGGAGATTTAGTTGTGGCCAAGGTCTAAAGAGATGAGCTCTTAAATCTGACCCCACAGCAGCAGAATTTTAGTATCCCATGCATATTTTTCTTGGGGGAACAAAACCTTGTACTTCCAGAGGAAGGGGCTAAATAATCAGACAAGTCTTGCCTATCTCAAAGCATTGTGGATCAGAGCCAAAGGCTAGCTGGATATCTAATTTCCTTTTGAAATCAATGGGCTTGTAGTCACTGGACCAAGCTTGTAAGTACCAAATGGGCTTGTAAATACTTTTTTGGCTCCAGCTCTACAACCCTATAAAATTATAGACACCACAGTTGGTTGGAAAGGAGAGTTTTTCCTCATGGCGAATTTGGACAACAATAACTATTTTTAATGAAAATGTATCTTAAAGTGAAGAATTGGGGGAGTTTTTCAACCAAAAACCCACTAAAGTTCTCTCTCAGAAAGCAGATGTTGTTTGTGTAATATTCTCTTCCCCGCCCCCCTGCAAAAGTCAAAAAACCAGTTTGTAGCAAGGTTTGTTTTGATGGAAGATTTTTGACAAGTCCTAAAGGTAAAACAGGGGTTTGGTTGCAGAACACTACCTGGATACTAGTAAAGACTCAAAATTACAAAAATTTGCATCTTGCATGTAGTGGGAACTGGTCCCTCTTACCTACCAGTTACATGAAGTCAAAAGATCCTGCCCTCCCCTCAACAGGCCAAGTCAATTGTAGCCTGCAGGAAGATGAGCCACCAGGTGTTGCTTTTACAACAGCTGGTGGTTCCCACCTGAAGGATCATTCAGTTAAATCAGTATAAAGAGCACACTGGAAGAGAGCTGCTCCTGTGCCAGCAATACTTTCAGTTGCAACTTTGAACTTCACACCTGGGTCTGAGCAGGTATGAAGTTTCCTGTTTTTTTTTCTGTATGTTTTAATTTAAGATAGTGATTCTCAACCAGGACACCCTGTGATCCTTTTAAAGGTGAGAGATACCTTGTAGTAGTCACACAGTTATACATGACTCTCAGGAATTCAAAAACCCATACTGCTGTGATGTGGTCTGCAGCAGAAGAACATTTCTATTATTTTTCTGTAATCTAAACAAGTAAGAACTAAGAGCTGATGCTTTTCTAAGGCGTACCTTGAGTCTAAAAAGGCTGAGACCCACTGTTTAAGATAGTAATTTCTTGTTTCTATGTTACCCGGAGTTTTGAGTGCGTGCCTGTATATAGTCCTAGCCAGCTCTCTGATAGTGGGATATAACTAACCTGTATTATTAAGATGACCTGTGACAGGTATGGCAGCACTGTGTGAAAGGTCCTGCTGGAGAAACAAAGCGGCAGAAGGGGTATAACCATTTGGCCCTGGGTGGAATTCTGTCACAGGTTCGACGGCCCACTGGACAACTGGGGCATAATTCTCCACTGGTCCATTTAGCACTCTGTTCTCCTGTTGGGGGTGATTACTTTGGTTCGGTTGATAGTATGGACCTTCCTCTGGTGAGGTTAGGAATAAAAAAAGACAGGAACAACAGTGTTAATGACCAGGATCAAGTGAGGCACTGCAGCAGGCTAGCTTTTATTTTATAATTGCAATCTCTGGTGGTTTTGCCCTCTGACACTTAAAAGATGCTGCAGAAACAGTCATTGTCATCACAGTATCACCACTCAGCCACTCTCTGTCCTTCCCATTCTATCCCAATACGAGTTCCCAACCCTTTCCGAGCTTTCTAGAGCTCCAAACCAGAGAAGAGATGGACTTAAGGAAAGTTCTCAGACACCATAGGGATGTGGGGTGGTACTAACCCCTATAAGGGGTACATAAAATTAGGACCATCATGGACTGGTTTTGGCTTGGACAGTATAAGAGTTGATTCTGAGCTACAATCAGTGAGGGCCCTTGAGATTTAATGTACTTCTCCCATTGTGAAGACAGCTGTCAGGACCTGGCCATCTCTAGAAAGCCAGCTGCAACAGGGGCTTTGCCAAAAGACATCCAAGATAGGATTCCCAATGGAAAATCTTGGGCAGGCAACCCCCAATGGGGACACTTCACACATGCCCAGCACAGAGCACGCTGAGAATCATGACTACTGCAAAGAATAAAACACCAACAGAAGTAGTTATTGGCTCTTTTCGCCTGGTCCGCCCTGCATGACTGGGTGCAATTTCTGTCCGGTACTCTTCTGGGACTTGCACAGGGTTCCCTACAGCTCCCAGTGCCCAGGAAGCAAGGCAACTCTAAAGCAAGCCAAGCTGCTTTCCTCAGGAAAGGATTTCCTCCTCCCTTGAATCTGGTTTATGTGATTATTCAGGGACACTGAAACGTGGATAAAATTGCAAGGGGTTCGTGACAGCCAGATGTTATATGAAATGCAAACATATCTTGGCATGGTCCTGCCTCTGAACCAACCTCCAGCAGTGAAGGGTAGCAACCAAGGGCCCATAAGCATCTCCACTAGGTCAGGTTCATCAGGGTAATCATTTGAAGTGGAATGATGGCAGATGTTCATCTGATCCCGGAAGGGGTGGTAGTCTGCCCTTCCAGCCTGCATGCCGTCCATTTCTGTGGAACAAGGCAAACCAGACTGTCTAAATTACAAGCCTGTTGCAAGATTTCATACCTGCCCCCACCCTTTCCCATAAACATCCCCACCACTGTAGAACCATACAATCTCACTTTGCCCTGCACCTGAGACCTTGCCATGATTGATCAAAGGAAGATGGTGAGGGTGTAACACTGCTAACCAAGTCTGTCTCCCCTTTGACTTTGCCACCATGATCCTTTCCTTTGTCATGTCCGTGTGACAAGGTATTTACCAGAATTTGAAGATTCATTGAAATCTGATGGGGCCACACCTGAAGCATTTCTGCTACAGCCTTGAGCTTGTGACCCCTGGGCTGTCAACTGTGCACTTTGGCACCCGCACAACCCCGGCCCCCACTGTTATGGCTGAACATGCTGCAGGCTCTTGCCCCTGATAGCATTGCTCAGCGGTTCTCCAGCAGACTTGTTGCCACTGACCCACCAGCTATGAGGTAGTGCAGCGGTTCCCAAACTGTGGGTTGTGACATCAGCGGATGGGGTAACGGGGGTGGAGGGGCTGTGGGCTGGGAGTAAGGGTCATGCTGAGGAAATGTGGCCATAAATGGGGTCATGCTGAGGAAGAGTTTGGGAAGCACTGAGTAGCATCTCCAACTTCTGAATCAGAAAATGATTTCAGATCGGCAGAGCTTTAAACACTTGCAGACCCTGGTCATGCAAATCAAATCTTAAGTGAAGGGAGCCTGGCTTAACTTGGACTCCTTGTCGACACTGCTTATCAGCATGACCATAGATTGGGGTGGGCAATTATTTGGGCCTGGGGCCAAATAGGGAACTTTGCTGAGGTGTCATGGGCCAGGTCAGCACTTGCCCCGACTCCCACAACAACTCACCAAAATGCCTTCTGTGGGATGGGGTCGTGGGGGGGCGGGGAATAGTGTTCAGGAGCAGGAGGGGTGGGCGAGGCCGAGATCATGGGGTGGGGTTGTGGGGCAGTGACAGCACAGGGCCAAGGCCTGGGACAGAGCCGTGATCTGCTGCCTGCACCCCCCCTGCGACGTGGTTTCTACAGGCAGGGGCATGCAGGGAACAGATCATGTCTCTGCCCCAGCTCAGCTCCATGCTGCCACCGCCCCAAGATCCCAGGGGCTCCATGGAGACAGCTGGGAGCTGCACAGGCAGGGCACTCCCACCACGTCCACCTGGTGGAGTGCCCTGCCCGTGCAGATCCTGCCCCTGGAGGCGGGTGTGGGGTGGACGGTCTGGAGTACCCAGGCAGCAAGGCTGTGCCTGGCGGCAGCTGGAAAGAACCACTGCTGGGGCTGCCAGGAAATGGAGTCCCACAGTCACGCTGCCCAGCCCTGCTGCACACCTGGGCATGAGCCATGTCTCGGACTGCCCCCATGCCTTTACTGAGCAGTGCAATATCACTTTGTGGGCCAGATCTGGCCCTGGGCCATATTTTGCCCTCTACATACATTGTTCTCCTCTCCTGACCCTTCTCCTGACTTTGGCTCCCTCCAGTGATCCCAAGCATGTATTACATTTACCTGTATCCCCAGTGGGTATATCTACATGTGCAGTTAGCACCTGGCAAGAAGCTTCAGGACCACAGCATGTCAAGCCAGAGTAAGTCAGCCCCAGCTGGCAGGGGACCTGAGGGGTCAGCCTGCCAGCCCAGGGCTGCTCCGCCCTGGCTCAGTGTGCTGCAGAGGGACTAGCTGGGGCATATGGGTGCTACAGTGTGGGGGCTAGCCAGTAGGCAGCCCCCACACTGTAGCACCCTCATGCCCCACCAACCCCAGTCACTGTCTACATGTGGGTTTTGGTGCATGCAACTACTCCCCTGTAGGATAGTACTTGCCCCGGACAGTACTATCCTACAGCAGAGTTCATTAGTTTACTGCACCCTAATACAGGAGCGTGCGTAAGTAATGGTGATGCTTTACTACGGAGCTAACTGGTCTACTCCTCAGTAAATTGCACATGTAGATGCACCCAGTCTTTACCTATTTAGCCTTAGCTGCATCTCTGGGATTATGTCTGCGCTCCAGCAGAGGCAGAAAAGGCTCACAGATATTACACTAGGCTATGGAGCCTTGCATCAAAGTCTGTGTACAACAGAATGACTCCCCAGGTAGGCTGCCCTGCTCCCTAGCACAGGGCACATAGAAATGCTGACAGACTCAGGAAGGCTCCCGATTGCCAAGGCTGTACACTTCCTAGTGTCTTTTATGCCAGGACCTCCTCAGGCTTCTTTATACATGCAAGATCATACAGCCACACCATGCTGGGGTGATTAAAATGAAGCAGGGTGAAAACACCTGCCCAGTAACAGTAATTCAGTGGCCCTGGCTCTCCAAACCCTTCTCTGAGCTGTAAAAAAAAAAAA